TATATAGCACAAGCAGCAGCTGCAGAAGCAGCTACAGCTGTAGCAGCAACAGCTGCAGCAGCAGCAGCTGCAGCAAATGCTGCTTATAGGTGGTTATACACTAGAAAGATAGAAGGCATTGAGAAGAGAGACGGTAATAACTTCGATATAAATACAAGAGCAAAAAGACGAAAATTTATTATTTCATTTTGTACATATAAAGAAGTATAAATATAAATATAGATATAAATATAAATATAAATATAAATATAAATATAAATATAAATATAAATATAAATATATTTATTTAATTTAATTTAATTCAAGAATAGCGATAAGAGACAACTGAAAATTATGCTGCAAAACCGCAATAACACCCGAACGCCAAAAACTATTCCGCGCCTGCTGCTGCTGCTGCTGCTGCTGCTGCTGTTGCTGCTGTTGCTGCTGCTGCTGCTGCAGCAGGGCAGGCAGAGAAAAGACATTATTACCTTGAAGAAGGAACATTGTCGGAATGCGCAGGGGGAGTGAGGGGTTTATCCAAAAATACACAAGGCCAGCCAGTCCTGCTGCTGCTGCTGCTGCTGCTGCTGCTGCTGCTGCTGCTGCTGCTGCTGCTGCAGGATAGGTAGTAATGATGTATGTGGAGTTAATTGCGTGAGAAGATATGTAGAAGGGCGGCGAGGAAGACTGCGACGAGTACTAGTAAAGCCAGGCTGGGTTGTTGTTGTTGCTGCTGCTGCTGCTGCTGTTGCTGCTGCAGCTGCAGCTCCCTCGGAGCAACAGCACCACCGCTGCTGCTGTTGTTGCTGCTGTTTTCTTCATGAGAGACAGTTGGTAGCTTGTCAGTGCTTCCTGCAGCAGTGCTGCAGGAAGAGAGATCCCACGGCACATCGGGGCCTTTCCCTGCTGCTGCTGCTGCTGCTGCTGTTGCTGCTGCTGTTGGTGTAGTTGTTGCTGCTGCTGCTTCTGCTGCTACCACGTCGGGGACTGCTGCTGCTGCTGCTGCTGCTCCCTTGCAGCTGCTGCGCGACTGCTCAATCACTTCTCTCATATTGCGGGTGAGACTGGTGGGTGCAGGCTTCACTGCTGCTGCTGCTGCTGCTGCTGCTGCTGCTGCTGCAGTATTCTTAGTTGCTGCCTTGGCGGTTGCTCGAGCTTCACAGAAGCGTTTGAAAGCAACAGCAAATCCATCTTCTGCTGCTGCTGCGATGTTGCTGGTGCTGCTGTTAACGCTGTTGTTGCTGCTGGCGATGCTGCTGCTGCTGCTGGTGCTGCTGTTATGCACATCGAGGTGTGCAGCAGCAGCAGCACAGGGGGTTCCCATGACAAGTGAGATTGCTCTTCTCCTCAACATGTCTCGTTCTTTCTGCTGCTGTTGCTGCTGCTGCATCTGTTGCTGCTGTTGCTGCTGTTGCTGCTGTTGCTGTTTTTGCTGCTGGAGATATCTGAGGCGTGTTGCTGTTTCTGCGTTATTAGTCTGTGGGTTTGCTGGGTTTGCTGTTGCAGCAGCTGCAGCAGCAGCAGCAGCGGCAGCAACAGCAGCAGCAGCAGCAGCAGGGGTAGATGCTGCTGCTGCTGCTGCATCTGCAAGAGGAGACTCGAAGTTATGTCTTCTATAATAACAAACATGTCTACAGGAAGCCTTATCTTGATGCGTATTAATCCGTTTAAGCAGCGTGAATGCTGCAGCTCTTAAACTTTGTTTCTTTCTGCACTCAATAGATATTACTCTTTCGGCACATGCTTCTTCTGCCTTCACAAACAAAGGCGATATATTTATCGAGGCACCTGTTGCAATCCTCAAGGACTGAATATACCCGCCGTTCTTGCCTATTAGAGATCCTACTACAGCACGAGGAACGCATAAACGCAAGCAAACAACTTGCTGCTGCTGCTGCTGCTGCTGCTGCTGCTGCTGTTGTTGTTGTTGGAGGTGGTAGAGATCGTCTCCTCCTTGCTGCTGCTGCTGCATCTGGAGCTGAATCTGCTGCTGCATCTGCATCTGTTGTTGTTGTTGCTGCTGCTGCTGCAGAGGGTTTGCAGCATCTTCTGCTGCTGTCTGCAGCTTATCTATTAACCAATCAACTACATGCAGCACTGCTGTCTCTGCACCTTCAATTGCAGCAACTCTGTCAGACGTCCCTGGGAAGTACATTCCGTGAGGAGACAGCACCTATACAAACAAATGCACAAAATAACAAAAGCAATTCTTGCTATTTATTTATCTCTTTATTTATTTATTTGTTTGTTTGTTTGTTTATTTAATTTGTTTATTTATTTATCTATCTATCTATCTATCTATCTATCTATATATTTATTTAGTTTGTTTGTTATGTATGTGTAATAATTGCTGCTACTACTTCAGCAACAACAATAACAGCAACTACAACTACTAAAACTGCTGCTGCTGCTGCTGCTGCTGCTGCTGCTTACGATTTTTGCTCCAGTGAGGGTTTTAAGAGTTCTGATTTCACTTCCTGCTTGCCCTATGATAATACCGGCCAAATGATTAGAGACA